TCCCTAGGAGACCTGCTTCAGCGATTAGTGATCCTTATAATGGAAAGGTATTCCTAATATCTAATCTATATAACCCTTACTAAAAATTAAACCAGTTACTTCCTGTCTTATCCCTGATGAACGCAAAGAAAAATTGACCTTATCCTCTTTTTAACACTTTCAGTGCATTTGAGGAGTGTTAAATTGTCCCTTCTTGAACTTCCTTTTTTCTAAGTTGAATCTGTCAACTTCTCTCAACCTTGCCTTCCAGGTCAGTTTCTGGAAATTTTCTTCTCTTTCTGGATTTTGCCTAGTTTGCCTACACCTTTCTTAGCATGCCCTGCTCAGGACAAAGTACAGCACCCCAAGCTCAGCCAAGGCCAAATAGAGAGGGCAATCTCAGCCAGTCTCAAGAGCTGAGTTCCTGTCAGTATGTCCCAAGAAAGGTGTTTGCCTTCTCTTAACAGAGCACCAGCTGGCTGACGTACACACAGTCGGAGTTTCACCATAACTTTTAGATCTCTAGCCAGAGCTCATCCCAGTTCACACTGATGTATGAGAGAGTAAAATCAGTGGAGGTCTACTAGCTATCTTTTTGGGACAGAGAAGAGACAGGCACTGGGCTACACGCTTGTAGAGGGATCAGTAAAACCTGGCTGTATTTTGCTAACTCTGCCTTGCTGGAAAAAACATTTTGCAGGACCTGTGTGGAGGATGAAGGTGAAAGGCTGCGTCACAGCTCCAGCATCAAAGAGATGAGAAGCTAAAGGATGCTCGCTGGAAGGACAGTAGAAACTGCTGACCAGGCAGGCAGGGCCTTGCAGTCGAAAAGAATCGAGAGGTGAAAGTGGTCCCAAAGGGAGCAATCAGGACAGAGTCTGCGGAAATGGCTGGACCAAAACAGAAAAGCAGTGGCATCACTGAGAAGGTGCACAGATGGACTGGGGCAAGGGGGCATGGGAGAAGGAAGAAAGCATTCTTCTTGGGAATACAGGACTCCCCTTGGGAATACAGGTCCTGGTCTCATCGGCACAGCTATAGCTGTCTCAGACACTGCGCTTTGGCAACTGATCTCTGGTAGAGGTAAAGAAGCATGGCTGTAAAGACGGTGGTCTTTACCATCTGGATATATGAAGACATTTCTTCATTCTCCATTTATTCATTCATCTCATCTTCATTCAATCATTCATTTAAATGACTGCGATGATAAGAGAGATAAAAGTTCTGTCCCAAGAAAAGTGTTTAATGTTCCTGTGGATTAGCCACCTCATCTTTTGACTATCTCAGCAGCTGAAGGGCTGTGGCTGCCTGGAGGGAACTGAACCTTTCACAGCAAGGCCATGGCACACCTAGGAAACAGGCAAATTCCCCCCTGCAGAGGGAAGGAGCAGCTTGACCAGCAAAGTCAAATCACTGCAGCTGGAAGCCGGCACTTTGTGGGTTTACGCTTCCATGCATGCACCTTTTGTCCTGATGGTTGTTTTTAACAGCACATAACAATATGTGGTTTTGTTCTTCACGTTAATCCCGGTTATTTTGGAATGGGGTCTGACCACTTCAGTGACTCGCTCTCAGGACTGCCATAACAAGACAACCAAAGAATACACTACAATTCCCATCTAGCTGTCAGTGGGAGCAATTAAATGGATTAGAGGCTGCCTGCTTTTCAGTGTTGGCTTTACAGACTTGTTACATATATTTCTGTATTCTGCCCTCATTTTGACTCAGCGCTGGCCCAGAGATCACAGTCAGGAATGAAGCTTTGGGTGCCATTGGGGAAATCAGTCTCTGGCCCACAATACAATCTCCCTGCGGCTCTCCCAGAAAGTCCAGTTACACCAGCACCCATGTTTCTCATTGAGAAGTAGGTCACTAGATCATAGCCCAAACGAAAAGGAGCAAAGGGTATCAAAGGTAAATGGAGAGCGTCTGGCTCAGAAGGCAGATCCCTGCATGGAAAGCTTCCAGGCTGACATATCAACTTAAATGGGACCTACATAGTGTAATTCCTGTGACTACGGCTGACACAGCGTCAGGCCACACAGCTGTGTTAATTCACCTGCATAATCTGACAGATAATTGCAGCAGTCTCGACTGGCTGTGGCAGAGCGTGCGGTGTGCTGGAGCAGTTTTGGAGCACCTAGAGGGCGGCAGGGGCTTTGCTCCACGTGGCTTCCTCTGTCAGGAGGTCTGGGGCACGTGCCACCAGACAGCGGGCACACAGGCGCTGGACATGGCTCTCGTCTCTGGCAATCTGGGAGCTGATAGCTTCGGTTTTGGCAATATTCTTCTCCAAATGCTTTCAGAACACATAAAAATCCCTAAATGAAGAGCCTAAGAGCTCTTTTCTCTACATGACTCCAGCTGTGGGTTACACAACTCTGTGTACAGGTTGGTATCTCTATCCTGCATGATCCTTTGGGAAAGAAGGCATGAGCAGTTTCAATGATGTACTCAAAGCCACAGAGTGACTGAGTGGAAGAGACTGGATGAGATACAAGTCTCCAAACACGCTGGCCTGCGTGGAGGACAGCTACTGCTTGTACACAAAGCATTTCCACAGCTTTGAGTGAGAGGTGTTTTATTTATGTTGACATACGAAGATCAGAAGCGTTCCTAGCGGTGATCGGCAGGGGAAGCAGATGCAATGTTTTCATGCTGCCAGCATTTCATCCTCAGAATTAGCAGTGCTCGCAAGCTGTGCTGAAGTTGTTTTTTCTTCTTCTCTGTGTTACAGCAGCAAGGTATTTCTTTTGTCCACTGTCTGCTGGCAGCACTGGAGTTTGTGAGTGAGTGAGGCCCAGCCCTGCGTGCACAATTTGCTTTAAGACTTAGCTGCCTGCATGGACGATGCAGGAGCACTGGCAAAGGCTACTGACCAGGGTTCAGCTGTAAATCCACTGCGTTCTACATTTTGCTCTTGATAAATAACATACCATTTTCCATATGATTTTAAAGGGAAGTGGAATAATTAGGATGAGAAATGGAAAAAGAAATAACATCCTTTCCTATAACGGCAGGGTAATTGTAATGGTGACAGTTCAGACTTATTTCATTCAAGCAGGCTGGAGATATATCTCAGAATCTGCATTTACATCAGCACCAAGATTTCACAGTGGCCCTCGGAGACTACGGCAGCAAAAATGATCAAAAAACTATGTGGAAAAGAACTGAAAAGAACAGAATCTAATGGCAGAATCAAGGAAACTCCAAGTTCTGATATGACAACCACAGCAATAAAAGAGAGCAAAGATAAAAGGTGAAATTGGGTAGGATACCAAACATAGCTAAATATTTAACATACTTGAAATAAAACAGCTTCTAAATCCTTTCACAAATGAAAGAGGTGAGAATTCCACAAAAATGGGTCAGACCATCTTTTATTAATCAGGCTTTATTCAGCATTCCTTGCCTTTTTCAATGTGATAACTTCAAAATCTAGCTAAGCCTATTGATTGTTTATGTAATAAAGTATTCATTCTTAGGTAACACATAAACCGACTGTCTTTATTACAAATCCAATGGGACAAGAACACAAGATCATATTCTTTTTGCTCTCTATCCGCATAAGACAATTGTCTTTGATTACCTTTCCAAGACCAAAAGATGTTCATTATCTTTTATTCTCATTAAACAGGATATGCTACCATTTTTTCTGTATTGAAATCGCAGAGGAAAGTATGAAAGACCCTTGTCTAGATGGATTTGAGAAACCTGATTTGTCCTGCATTACTGGTCTTAACTCAGGAGCTAACTATTGTTCAGTGTTTGTGGTTATTTTAATCTCCTTCCTAAAAGCCTCATTTACTGTTTGACACAAGGCGAACAAGTAATAGTGTGTTCATTAAACTTCATCAGATGACTCACCATTTTGTTCCTCCTGAGTCATTCAATCAGGTAAAATCAGGGACACAATAGATGCCATTTCACATTACACTACATGGTCATACAATAAAGTCTAATTCTGATGGTAAAAAGCACCTGATGCTTAGTTTAAATGCTGTCTCACAACTCATGCATATCTTGATTCCCAGATCACTGAATTGGACTTCTTATCAACAACAGATTTTGGATCATGTCTTCAGAGAACCTAGGGAACTCCACCATACATTTGGGATTGTAAAAACTTTTTAGTTTACAGCAAACCTGAGTTTAAGAACAGTGGATATGGGAATCTTGAAAGAAAGCTCTATAAACGCAGAACCACTTTCTAGAGAAAGAACTTTTTTTTTTTTTTAAAATCAAAGAGTCTTTGCACGGACAGCCAATGTGATGTTGTCCTTTTTGATAGCTGAAGAACATCACGAGACTCTAAATAAATGAACTGTTTCTTGGGGCAAATCTTTCTGGATATTGTCAGGAGAATTTTATTTCCAGTTAGCCAATATCTACTGATAGTCAACTGTTGTGTGGTGTTCACATGCAATGTGTTACCATGAAGGAGAAAAGCAATTTCTGCTAGGCATTGCCTGCGTTAACACTGTAGGTCACTTGAATTTAAGCTATGAATGTCTTCTGGAATAATTATATGTTCATTTTGGGCTTTGGCCATTTTAATAAAAAGCCACATGGGCACAGATAACACACCTCGAGATCTACCCTTTCCAGTGCATGACTCTAAAAGCTACCGATTACCAGAGGTGTGATGCTCAGCCAGGCCTTAAGTTTACATGCTCTGCAGGTCTCAAGCTGTGCTACACTGCCATTTCAGTTGCAGTGTGCCCGTTCCGGGGATACTTCTAGCTTGTGCAAAAATTAACATTTGCATTACACAGGAGCTTATTCTAAATCAGTTTGTATCTACAGGGAACGCACAGGAGGACTGGATGATCCAAACCCGCTATTACACATAACCAATCACAGAATCCCTCTCCAATATTTATTAAGCACCCCTGTACACTAGCACCAGCTTTTTGTGTGTAAAAATGCCAAAGTCTCAAATGCAAGCACCCAAGGCACACAGTATTTGTTTTTCCCTCTGAGCAGAGTTAATATTCAGACACCAGAAAACAATCACTCACCGTCTTGATGGTTACCTGAATCGGCTGGAGACTTGCTCCGGCGCATGGGGGCTGGACTCTTTGCTGAGCTCTTCTGAGGGGTGGGAGAAGACTTGCTGCCTGTGGCGGCCGCAGGGCTCCCTTTCATCACCCGGCACTCTAAGGAATAGACAGCGACATTGGTTATGTCCTGACCCATGCTTCCTGCCAGGGAGTGCCTATGGATATGTGTGAGGTATGAAATACCCATGAGCAGCTTAGGGCTTTCTGTCTCCAGTGAGCCATGAAAGCATGAGCACCACGAGCAAAGCAGATATCAGCATGCTTTCTCCAGGGCAGCTGCACTATCAAGGAGACTTTCTCGGGGGGGAGGGCAAGGGGCATAGCTCCTCTAGAAGAGGCACCGAGACAGGCTACATCAAGACCAGGCTGGCTCCCTAGCAGGGCCCATCTCTGTACCTCTGTTCTAGGTGGATTTTCTGCCCTTCCCCTTCCCTTGGGGTCCCAACAACTAGTGGGCACCATGGAAATGGTCAGAACCTACTGAGTTAAAAATCAGGCAAAAACCAGTTAATTTGCTGTGGGTATTAAATGTAATAAAATGTCTCTCCCACCCTTGAAGACCTGATAATAGGAATGATGAGTTCCATTTACACAGGTGCAGAAAGCCAGCTCACAGCACCACTTAAAGGTCTGGAAGGGGTGCATGGGCCACCTGTGCCAGGAGGCTTTCACCCAGCCTTAACCAATCTTCCTTCTGTGGTTTCACCAAGCTGCAACATTTCAGATGCACAAAGAAAAGAATACAGAATAGTTTTACAAAAATCACGTCCTGGGCACTCAGCCCTTTTGGAAAGCTTTGTATACATACGTCTAGTAGATTTATGTACTTAAAGACAGGAACCCCAACCGTGTTTCATTAAAAAATAAATAGAGCAGGAAGAGGGGAAAATGTAAACACAATCTACAGCATCCTGCAGAAGGGAACTGAAATGCTAACAAACCTCTGTGTGTCCCAGGATTTCAGGCATGCCAGACCTTCAAAACCAGGGTTTATTTACATGTAGAGCTAAGAGTAAAAGGACTTCTCCTTCCCTGAACTTAGTTAAGAAGGCGGCAATAAAAGGAGATTTCCTCTTTGTCAAATGCTGACTGGTCTCACCTCATCTCTTAAAGACTGTTCTCACCAAATATGTGAGAAATAGGTCTTTATCGCAGCCGTGAAGTAGATGTCCAACATACAAACTGTGTTTCATGGGCAAGTTCAACTCAGCTTGCACGGGTTTTGATGGAGAATCCCCTAGACTGGATTTCCTAATGGGAATGAAATAAGGCAGCACACAGCGGACAAATAATTGGTCAACCGAAAACAAGTCGTCTGACCTAAATGCGTGTGTTATTTATTTATATATGAGAATATCTATGAAAATGTAATTGCCCTAAATTTTTCCCTAGGCTTTCCTCATTTTTAGGCAATCAAGAGTCAGTCTCTTTTTCTTCCAGATGGTCTGCAAGAGAGTTTGCTGTTGGGTCATGCAGTGCAAGAATACAAAGAAAGGATGTCCTGTGCCCCAGGGATATTGGGTGGGGATAATTAACCTACAATGAGTTTATTCCTTCACCTACTAAATGGTACAAAATGCATTTTGGACACTGTAAATTAGGGATACAAGCAGTGTGCATTTTTTTCTAAGATACCTGATATCTCAAGAGATGATACCATGGAAAGGCTGGTAGGACTCCAGCACTGATATATTCCCAATTTTTTATACACAAAGGGCAGTAATGGGGCAGGGTGGGGGGAAGACAGTCTATTCCTCCTTGTCAGTAAAGAATATACACTGTCTTATGTGCCATGGTGAGATAGCCACTAGGGAGAGCTGTGCGAGAAACTGCTCATGGTGTTAACCAGCCAAACTAAAACATAGGCAAAATCATCTTCAGTCACTGCAGATGAACCAGTTTTCACATACCTGTTTAACAAAAGCAGTGCAACGTTTGGGCCTCGGGATATGATTCAGTTGCCCAGCCATAGGCACCAAGTGCCCTGTGAGCTGCTCTGGAGTACAGCCTCTGCCAGTCCCCGTCTGATACCTGTCAGCCCCTTGTGGGTAACTCAGATTGCGAGGAGCATCTCTAATGGCACCACGCACCTATGTCTACGCACCCAAATTATTCCCTGAGTATCATTCCAATTGGAAAAAAATAACCCTAAAAAGTGGAAATACTCGATTTTGCCTCTTTTCAAGAGCTTACTCAGATTCTTCCCCTGCAGTGGAGAAATTCCTCAGGAAGCAACTCAGCTTTGCATTTTCCAGCACAGAAAACCTGACACTGAGGAATTCCTCCAGCTCTGCTGCAGGCGAGTGTCAGTGTGCCAAAGGCAGTCACTGCCTGTTTGCATGCCTTGAAACAAGGTACCAAGGAGGAAACCTGCCTGTGCTGACAGCCATGTTAACCTGCCCCTGAAAGTCTCTAGAGTGTGACACCTCCACACGTTCATACTGGAAGCTGTGGGTACAAACGAGACAGAGCAGCAGCATCTGGAAGGTGCTCAGCAATGGGGACTTATAGGGTGGAAGCTGCGGTGGGCAGTGAGGAGGAAAAAGATGACATAACCCTCTTTTATGCTCTTTCTCATTTTGTTTCCTGATGTCCTGCCAGAGTGAACATAATAGCCAGCAATCTGAGCCCATGTCATCAAAACAGGCAAGAAAAAGTACCCATGACAGAGGAGGTTTTAATAAGTGACATTCATCCGCAAGACATCAGGACTCACAGTTCCCCTGGCAGTGTCTGACTCGTAACAAGGAAAGATGACGGGTGCACAATGGGAAAACGCTGCTGGCTGATAGCTCCTCATCTGTTTCTTGAGAGGTGCAGGGCACCCTCACTTCCCCTGAAAATACCGCTGCAAGCTGCAGTTGCTCAGCACCTGCGCAGCAGCAGGCTTGGCTTATTTTTGTTAGAGAAATCCAAGCTGGAAAAATTAGTAGTAACTGGGAGTGTGGGCAGAGATCTGGGCTTCCCGTCAAGTTGTGCTGCTAGGATTGCATCCAAACTGTTTTACAGTGTGAAACTCCCCCTGGAGCTGACTCAACTGCCGAGTGTTAAAATAAAATATGAAGCTCAGGTTACAGATTGCTTCCCCAGCCTGACACAGGCTTTATTCTCTGTCTGCAACGTTTCAGCTGAACCTTGGAAACTTTCTTTGAAATACCAAAGACCACCAAATGGGTTCATCTGGAGTACACAGGTCAGAAGTACCAGCATCACATAAAATCAGGCTTGCAAAGGAGTCATAAAAATGCAGTGCTTGGAGATTGGAGGCTGCTTGGCTTCCTAGTGCACAACAAAAGTCCTGTTTGATCTTCAATTCTGAGTCAGTCTGTGGCACACAAGATAGCATGTGACTCCTGTTCCTCACACAAGATACCTAGAGCTTTGGGAAATACGGGTCTGCATGTTTGGAGACCACATTTTCTCCTAGTTTAAATGGGCAAAGTTGGATTAATTCACTATTGCTGCACTCACAGGCACCAGCACACAGCTGCGCTATTGGTATGTACAGTCACCAGGTGGAGTAGGTGGTAAATCCTAAAAGCAAACTCTGTATGTTCTCCGAAATCAAAGATTTCATGGTTTAACTGATCATAGACTTACATTACACAGCTCTGTGGCTGCGGTTGTAATGGGGACAAATATTGCTGCCGTTCCACCTAAGGTGGGAATTATTACTCCTTTTAGCTTTTTCCTTTTTCAGTCAGCAGAAAGAAGTAGTGGAGAGATTTTTCCCTTTAACTATGCTTGCTCCCATTTTTAATGTTCACATACATATGTAAGGAACAGGAGTGATGAACTCGATGTGTGTGTTTCTCTTGATCAGAAAAGTAGAGATTATTCTCTTGCTGTTTAGTTCTCAAGAAGAATATATCCAATGGAGTGCAACTGGATAAAACTAAAAGGATATACACTACCGGATTTTTCAACAAATGTCAAAATGGTGGTATATTGTAGAATTCCACCTGTTTTGATTTAGGCTTCACCTGTCAGTGTTTGCCAGATTATAATATTCACTGACTGTTCCAATATGCCAAAAGGATGTTGTATTCCATGTACTAGGTCTTAAAAACAGCACAAAAGCATGCAGCATTATTATCCAATACAAGCAACTGCAAGGAAATTAAATAAAAACACAGACTGGAGAGCAGTGTGTGTTTGATGTTACCGCTTTCATCCAGAGAAAAGTCATCCTGTGCATAGCGGAATTTTTCTGGACCACAGGCGATAAACACATCATCATCCCCAAAGAAATCATGGAGACAGGTCACCTACAGAGAGAGCAAAGTCATTTATTTTATTTTTAATTGGCAACATTCTGATGTGGTTCAGTTCTAATTTAAGCATGAGGGTACCGCTTCTCTGTTCCCCCCATCCCATGCTAATTCAGTCCTTTCTTCTATAAGCTTGTTGCACAACACACAACACTCTCCGGGCAAGTCAACCATAACAGTATAATTTTAAAAAAGGAAGAAAAAATCCCAATCACCTTGCAAAATCCAATGAGGTATGGCCTTTCCAATCCATTCAGGCGATGACAAGCTACATTAGTCATCCTAATGAATGATTCACGCACTCCTGATCTACTTCTAAAACATGAAGCAGGGGTGGCCCCCCCGGCCGCATTGTTCGGCCAGGCTGTGACACCAGTGCCCATGCTGATGAGTAGCTTAGTACCAGCAAGGCCTGAAAAAGCAAAGGATCACTAAGAAGGTAAAGAGCCACAGAGACTGGGGTGTATCAAGCTGCCTGAGAAACACTGAAGCCACGGTCAAGATGGCTGATGTCTCAGAACACCTCACTTTTCTATTTTGCCATCCTAACTGGGTGGAAATTATGTCTTGGAGCATCTGGAGCTCCAGACCCCACATCTTGATGTGAAGGGTTGAATGGAGCTGGGGATGAATGGAAGCAATGCATAAGATGAGGGAGCTCCAGATCCTCTGATTTTCTCAGAGACCTGACATCTGAGGGTTCAGAAATCTGAAAATGCATGGCAGGTCTCAGGAAGCGTGCTGTGAGGAAGGGAAGTTTAAAATGCACTCACCCTGGGAGGTAATCCCTGATAAAAGCATATTCAACTGGCAGGGATCTGTAACTCCTGTTAGTACTCTACAGGTGATGGATGTGTTGTTATTTTAACAATATTTTTAACAAAATCAAGAGGTTCTATTGGTTGGTCAGAAAAATCAAACAAAATATCTGCTTAAAAGTAACAAGGACAATGAAGAAAGTTCTAAACAATTTAAGTTCTGAAAAGCACATCCGAGTGATAAATCTTGCTCCAGGTCTGCGCTGAGCCCTGCAGGCACATAAGGATGCATCAGGTTGGTATCCTTGTCTCCTGTCCTCCTGCTTCTCTGTAATTAGCTGGGAGGGGAAGTAGAAGACAAAATTACCATCCACCACTGTCATCCCTGCTGGCTGAGGAATACCATCTCAGTGGCTGGTGCATGCCTTAGCTCTCTTGACAGCCAGAGCATCCCATTTGCTTTTTTCCCATAGTATGGGGCATGACAAGCTCTCTAGGAGCATCTGAGCAGTCTGACAAATAAAATCCTTATCTGGAAATGACCTGGGACAATGGTGACGCCCACAGTTGCTCCTACTCTTTTTCTGCAATACAATGTATTTGAAGGCATTGTTCCCAGGTTATGATTTTTGGTTTGTTTGCGACCGGACTCAGGTTTCTTACAGTGTGTTAAGAAACTTTCTGTGGAGCACATGGGGCTGGGAATGGATATTCTCTGGGCCTTTCTGGTACAGCCACCTGCTTCATACTTGCATGTAATCACAAGGAAATGGGCCCCCGATCCCGTCCTATGTTGCCAGCATAATGAGAACTGATGCCACATGGAGATATCCTAGGATACGTCGAGACCTGCTGGTGCTCCCTTTCCAGAGAGGTGGGCCTGGCTCTGCTCCAGCTCACCACCTTCAGCTCACACACGCTGCAGGAAGTATATTTCCTCATCCCTGTCTTCTACCCGAAATATGTATGTGTATGCTCACATGAAAGAAAATACAGGTTTTGCTCAAAGTGAAAAAGACCACGACTGCCCTCACATTAAACCTTGCTTGCCCAGATCCCAGACCGCATGGGTGTGGGAAACGCTCCAAAACCAAGAACAACTGACTCCAGCTGTACGCTGTGGCCATCAGTGGCCTTGATTATTTTAACGAGAATATCAAAAGGGCTGAAAGGCAACACCTTCCTACAGAAGGCATCTCCACTTCCACACCATTAGCGCTTCAGAAGAAGGTAACACCGCTGCACCCAAGTAGCTTCCAGAGCTGGCGAGGAGACCTCAGCCTCACCTGCCTTCCCCTCCCTCTCCCCATCCCTCCGTCACTGCGCAGTGGGTTAGCTGGAAGAGCTGGAGCCTCCCATGCATCTTCCAGATCGGCCAGGACAGCGCTGCCAGCCACAGGCCAAAATCCACTTCATTAGGTGCTGCGTTGTGAAAACCGGGACATTCAGATCTTTACTATTACCCCCTGCACAGTTAAAGTTGCGGCATATTAGCTGCGCAGTTACCAATGAAATTATGGAGGTGATTACACAGCGACAGCAAGGTAACTACGCACACAGTAACTTCCCTGGAACCAGCGGTAATTACACCGCGACTCAGGTTAAAGCTGTTGTGTTACCTCTGGGTAACCGATATTAATTCACGTTATCTCAGTGCAATGACTGGGGGAAACGTGCACATCGTTGCACTTTGGAGAGAACCTTAAACACCCCAACTTGTCATCAGTATCTTGTAGAAAATCCCTTTTACCAGCCCTGGCAGGCTGACAGGTGCTCTCTGCAAGCAGAGAGATGATGCTCTTCCCTCTTCACAAAATGCTTTGAAAGCCAGTATGAAATGCAAAGTATTGTTGTTATTTTTAAGAAAGGAAAAAGGTTATGAGGGAAACGGGAGCGTTTCCATGTTCCCAGCACCTGTGTAGCCATCAAGAGGTGAATACTCAGCACAGGACCTGCCTGCAAAGGGCAAGGGGTTCTTTAGGAGACACCAAGGTACCGCCACCTGAATGACTTTGCCGGCCGTCCCCTTCCCTGGAGCTTATGCCTGAGGGCCTGACATCCCTGAACCAGCCATCTAACGAGTCAGTGCTGTGCCATGAGGACAAAAACTGCTCATCCTTGAGCACAGCCCACAGGAATATCTCCAGCACCCAGCAGCCTGCTGCAGCCTGCCGTCTGGGTGGGCTCTATAACACAAGCATGCACCTGTGAGAAATGGGTAAACAGCTAAAAAATACCCCCCAAATTCCATTTTTTGAGGCCGTTCCAAGTGACCACAAGATCGGCATTGACACTGGCAACAGAGGCGCCGGGCTGACAGCCGCTGTCCCCAGCTTCGGCAGGGCTGGGCACTGGCGTCTTCACAGAGGGCCGGGGCATTGCAAGGGACTGCGGAGGGCACTGGAAATAACAGCGGGAAACTTACTGTAGACAGAGCTGAATTTCCATATCTACTGATCTGGTTGAGCTGGACTGTGAAAAGTTAATTTCAAGCTCTAATAAATCAAATATAAAGAAGGCTTTTGGCTATCCTAATAAGGCTCACAATTTCACACTGGTTAATATAATGTATAATTAAAGCAGAGCCTAAGAGTGCCAGCTCTGGCTACAATGCCAAACGTTAGCGAAAAGCCTGCTTTTCACATCTGCATGGCTTTCAAAACGGAGCAAGCTGAAATCTGCTACGGCGTCAATCAAAAGTAGAATTTTTTTGGCAGCCTTCAATGAACTCCCATTTCTGTTTGACTAAAAATAGGTTGAAAATAGTTAACACATTACCTATAAGGAATTCTCCCACAGAAAAGATGACATTTCAAACCAGGACACGGTATTACACCCCTCCCTGAGGATGTGTGCCATTGAATCATTTGCAAATAATTGGGTTTGGCTCAATACACAAGTTCCCATCTGAATGCTCTGCAATGTATTTATACCACGGAAAAGATTCAAAAGCTGCTTCGCTCACCTTTCAATATGGAAACACAGTGTAGTTAATGTAGTGCAAGCTAGTTCACAACAAAGAAGTCTGAAAAGTTTGCAGCCTTCTACATGAAATCAAAAAGAATCTAGAGGTGCTTTTACTGCCTCCAGATCATGACCAAAAAAATGTATATTTTCTCCTTGAATTCCCACCACCACCACAAGCAAAAAGAAAAACCAGGCAACCAAGAAAACCTTCAGTAATAATTCAGAAGTTCAAATGTGGTGGAAAACTACAAGCATGCCCAGGGATAGAAAGCTGCTTACATGTCAGGCAGGGATGCTCGCAGCTCACTTTGTTGCATGCTTGTTCCTTCAGATGGGAAGATATTGTGCACGTTTTATAATTATGATCAGCTGGCTGGCTGAGTACTGAAGGTCGATAAAGAACTTAAGATAGTCTGCTTGTTGAGCTCCTAGCACTGAGGAAATGATAACTTCTGTATTTGCTTTACTTCTTTCCTTTTCTTTCCTGCTGCAACTTCCACTCTTAAAATCCTACCATAACATAGTAGAAAAGACATCCCAAAACAACCCCTCTCCTCCCTTCAAACGGTGCCAAACAGCAAAGTTCAGGAAACGCGTCACGTGTTATGCAGTTTTCACTGAGCTCCGTTGCCTCTGTTTACCATGTATATGGTATTTCCTATTTCACTTTTGTTTATTAAATGTACATCCTTGCTCTGAATGCCTTGATTAAAACTGCATGCCCCTGTAACACGTCCCATATGTACTACTGTCAACACGAAGTTGCCGGAGTAAACTTTCTGTGTGGAAACGTGCCTTAAGTGCTAGATCTTACTGTGCCAGACCCAGGTTGTCCAAGTGGTGCACAGCAAAAAAAAACCACCCGGGAAAGCTCTAGATACGCACAGCCGCGCAGGACATGCCGCAAAAGGGCAGCGAGCGGCTCTGCTGGGCTGGCTGCCTGCAGATCCCCCTTAGCCAGGACTCACCGTTTTCTCTCCCAGCGCAGGTTTGCTTTTGACCAGCAAAGTACACATCAACAAAAAGGTATCGCAGCAGATAACCTGAAAATCACTGTTTTATATGCTGCATTTTGCTGTTATCCATGAATTCATGAAATCGCGGGACAAAAAACTGATAATAGCTTGCTAGTACAAGGATCTACGCTACTACCTGAAAATGGCAATTTTGCTGGTCTAACTGTTACCATGAACCAGTGGCAATGACACCGGAAACCACTAGATTAGTAAGATTTTGTCTTTTAACATTTTTTAATTTCCAAACTTTTTTCAT